CATCATCATTACTGTTATTGAGTAATTATTATCTTTGACGTATGTTAACGTTAACTACATTCGGAGATTGCGCTACGTCCTTACACCAAAATAAATAAAACGTACTAAATTTTCTATAACACAACATACACACAGTGCGGGGGAGAGCACACAAATCTTGTATGTCTCGGAGAATGTGCTAGCATTTTATATGGAGGAATGCAATAAAAAAAATTGCCCCCACTATTGCAATAATACATAATCTAAAATGAAGTTTCTACTCCAACAGTCACCATAAGGCTGAGATGATGAGCCGTCTCTTGAGTTGTACCCACTTCCTAATTTGACCCGTGACCTTACAACTTCAGCCAGTAAAACACTTCTACGGCCAATAACCGTCAATTGATTAACAACGTAAAACATTGTGGAAGGACAACTCATACAAAACCTTTGGTGAGGTAATAATAAATACTGCAATAATATGTTATATTATTAGTAGATTATGTGAAAGTTAAGATTTCTGTGTTATTTATCATAGCATCCACCCCCACAAATTTACTTAAGTTCGTAACCCCGACAAAGGACGGATACCTCAGCTTGTATTGCATAATTATTTTTCCTGTGGTGTTGTAAACAGACGAAGATAGTTTTAATTCAACACTTTACTACGTTTTATAGGGTCATTCTGTATTCACAATTTTAAGAGTTCCTTTAGTCCTTTGCTGTTTAATATATTTTATTTAATATTTATATAAAAATTATCGCCTTTCATATTTACTTCTTGTAGTTTTGCTAGAGATTTGAAATGTACTCAATTAAAATATAATATATATACGTATATATACACACACACGAGGGCTGTCCGAAAAGTTCGTGGTTGACAAAAACCGGAATGTGCGACTTTTTCTGACAAACATAAAGTCTGAACCTTTTATGAGTAAACAGCACGTAACATTTTACTTAAAGAGCTATTTTATGTGTTGCAGATTTTTGAATGGAAATCATGGAGAAGGTCAAGCTTCATGCTTGATCTAATATTTTTTAAAAGAAAATGACACAGGAAGAAACCCACCAGAACATTGAAAAAACATTAGAAGGTGATCCTGCATATTCAACAATGAAAAAGTGATGAACCGAGTTTAAGCGTGGTTCCAAAAATGTTGTCACCTGAGCAGAAACTGATCCGTGTCGTTGAAATACAACACTTACTTCAAATGTTTCAATAGATTTGTATCAATTAATGAAACGAGGGTACATCACTTCGACTCTGGAACAAAAATGCAAATTCAGAATGCAGATGTTCAAATCGCAGCCCTCTGGTGGGAAGGTCATGGCATAATTTTTTTGCGATGCCAAGGGTGTTTTACTACTTGATTATTCGGAAAGGGGTCAAACCGTTACAGGAGATTACTATGCATCTTTAATCAACAATGTGCATAAAGAGGTCAAAGAAAACAGAAGATGATTGCTAAAAAAAGGTGTACTATTCCATAGGGACAATGGCCATCTCACAAATCGTGTGTTGGTTTGAACGCTATCCATGATGCTGGCTTCGAAATACGCAACTACCTACTTACTCACCAGATTTAGCTCCAAGCGACCTTTTGTACTCTTTTTTTCCAACCTTAAAATCTTTCTAAAAGGTCGAAGAGTTCAGAGGGGTGATGATGTCGTACATACCGTCCAGTCATGGACAGAGGACCAAAAATAAGAAATCGTTCAGAAGGGCATAAAGGCCTTAGAGCAAGTGTGTAGACTCAGGATTAGATTATGTTGAAAAATAAATCATAGTTGAATCAGTGTTTCTTTTTTTTTTAAGGTCGGACCACGAATTTTTCGGACACCCCTCATATATACATGTCTTGGTATAGTGCTTCCTTACATTGAGCATAAATATTGGCAGCTTTTGAGATACAAAGGTTCATTTACGAATTATACAGATTAGATCAGTTTCGTGATGTTTCTAGAACTATTTTCACGTGATAGACAAATATTTGTCCCACATATAAAAGGCAGTTGTGCTGTGAGCCTAAAATATCTACAAAAATTAATTCGTGGCTTTTCGAAGAGAAATATTCGTACGGTGATTAAGCTAAGCGATGTACAGTAGAGCTGAAGGATACAACGTTTTAAACAAAGCGGAAAATTCACACAGCGAAGTTTAAAAGAGCAAAGACCACGAAATCAGTGGAAGACAACCAGAATTAATCGCATTCATCTTCAAAGTGAAAACTATTGTTTAGGAAAGATAATACTCCGACCCAACTAATACCCATTCCAATGAAGCTGTGCATATCTCTTGCTATCATTATCAAGATAATAAACAAGGATTTGAAGTTCGTGAAGTTAAACTTTAAACCAAAAGTTAAACTTCCAGTCATACACAGAAATTAACTGCCGTTTTCAGAAGAAAGATGGCCGAAGAAATTGGAATCACACTTGTCCCTTTCAACCACATATCTATCAAGTCTCCATGTGTAGCTTCAACGGACCTTTGTTTTTTTAGTTGTTTAACCATGTCCTTCGAAGGCGTTCATCTAAGATACAATCTAACATACGGGAAACTGTATAAGAATATCAGGGCAATATCTGTATGACTGCTCTTTGAAGATTACGGTTGTTTTTGGTTGAATTTTGCGCAAAGCTATACAAGGGATATATACTTTAACCATCCCCAATTTCGAAGTCTGATAGTCAACAACACCCACCACCAACTCGTGGGATATTCTAATTGAATAGTGGGATAGAAACCGTCACTGTTTCAATGCATCCATAGCCCAACATTGCGGAGATCGTTTTACTTCATTTTTTCAGTGAAACACGATACCTCAGATCTACAGTTTGGCACGCTAATCCTAGGCCGCACTTGACCATGTTAAATATGGCTAGATTGCTTGTGTTCTAGTTACTCATTGTCCTGAGTCACTTCCCTCTGGTACCACTTATTTTTTTTTCTTTACAAAAGAGTTCGTGGTATAGCTGGATGTCTACCACACTATGTAGATTCTATAGCTATGTGGTGGTATTTTTTGACACATGCATGGCGGATAGAAGTACCTCGACTCGACGAGACAGCAAAAATAGTGAAAAGGATGATTTTTTTACATCTTTGAATGGATTATTTATTTGTTTATGAACGAAACAAATGTTGCCCGTCGTACAATATCATTTCAACCATCTTCGGCTCTTCCTATTTCATTGACCATAGCAATACATAAAAAAGTAAGAATCTTCCAGATAAATTACTAATATTTAATCTGTGAACTACAATTTTAAAGCTCTATTACTGTTTACTTGTGCAAAATTTTGCCAATAGTAATAATCAGTAGAAAAGATATTTCCTTTGACATTTATTGTACTAATACATGAAAGCTGCTTGGAAGAGACAGCAGAGTATGCTGGTAGAAAAAAGAAAGTAAGAAGAGTCCAATAAAACAACAGGCAGACTTCGGTCAAGAGAGAGACAAAAACAAAACACACACACACACATACATACACAGAAATTTAGTTAAATTTTGCATAACATTTTGTCGTTCCTTCTGTTATATGCAGTTACTATTTTTACCTGCAAAGTCATCAGTGTACCTGAGAATACCACAAGCCGAAATCTGGCAAGTATTGGAAACCAATGAAGAATAAAATGAAGGATAATGTGGAAGACACTCTTGAGTCTAATATGATGTTTATTACAATAGTTTTAATTATATTGTGATTATTTACTAAAAAATTGCAACTAGTATCACAAACTTGTAATACACCTATAACTGTTTGTTTATTGAATTTTTCGCGCAAGCTTTTAGATGGTTACCTACGCCAGCTGTCCCTAATTTTGAAGTGACAGACTAGAGAAAGAAGGCACTTTGTCAACATCACTCTCCACCAACTCTTTAATCATAATATCCCGCGGCAGAAAGGGCGAGCATATTCGGTTTAGGATTCGATCCCAACCCACTGATTACGAGTTGAACGCCCTAACCATCAGGCCATGCCAGGCCCATTTATTATTGTAGGGGCACTTCATGAAGTTGCCCGCACTGAAACATAGTTGGAAACCAGTAATATAGTGTAGATTTGAATTGAAGTCCAGTATAAAATTTATTCTTTGACTCATGTCTTTGTAATCCATACTTACATTTAGATATATTTAACACAATGATAAATAGGTAAGTTAGTAGGTAAAGAGCAGATAGAGAAAAATGGATGTTTTCGTATTATAATGGTTTAAAGTTTTTCATATTATATAAATTCCTTAATGCATTAACACATTACAAAAAGTTTCACTTGTTTAAGATAAAAAACATCAAAATAATAAGATATTATACGAAAAAGCAAAACTGAAAATCTTTTTTTACCTAGATAAACAAATTTTAATTACTGTAACAGAAAACAACATGAAATAATAAAAAACTTTACAAATTTATTATGACATTAGAACTCTATGTGTAAAACTTGGGAAAGTATGATTTTCTACAAGTGTAAACGGGTAAAATACTGTAAAATCTTATAAGCGTCTATGTTTGTGTTAGCTCCAAAACAAAACATCAAAAAAGAATGGTTGATGTGTGTAGCGAATAAGAAAGGATCTCTTGGCGATGACAGATTCAGATATCAGATGAATATATATATAGAATACAACTTCACATGCTATAACTTTAGCACGTACACCCTCGTTTCTGTTGAATTTTTAAAGAGTTAGCGATTAACAACAGTGTTATGATGACCTTAAAACCACAGATAATATCTTCACCTGGTAACAACTTGGGAAAAGCACCGATTGGGATGGCAACAAGAAAACCGACACCAGCGGCGAAGAGAAATCCTAGCCACCAAGCTCCCACCCACACGCTACTGGCTGATGTTAGGCCGTGCCTGTAAGGAAACGTGATATTCAGTTTAATGATATATATATATATATATATATATAGAGAGAGAGAGAGAGAGAGACAAAAAGCAAAATATATTTCAAAATGAATTTTATTTGCAGTTATTTTTGAGTAAATGACATTAATTGACACTGTCTCTCAGAAAATAAAATTTACTAAGTACTATTGCATATATCATGTGAATGTTTCTATCACAGACATTAAACAAATAATCTTATAAAATATATGTCTCACTGACATTTCTCTACGTCTTTTAGCTTGTTTGATTACCTTTCAGCCCCAGTATTGGAACCTTCGACAGGCGAGTTTACATGAGTAAGTTACAGCTTTTTTTAACAAAAAGATCTAAAGCGCAGATTCTTTAAACGCCCTCTCGTGTGCAATACGAAAGTTTCAGATAACTATTAAACATCTAGATTTAACTTGTAAAATAAACAATAGGAATAAATAGTTTAAAATAAAAATAACATTTCATTTAAGCTTTTTTACTAATTGAGCTATTTCATGTTAAATATGGTCAATAGAAGTAAAAAAAAGGAAATTTTACTGAGACGTTCATGTAATAGAAAAAAATGTATAACTAAGAAAAGCTCCTTGTTATTCTGTTCAATACGTATTATATAATGTATTATAAAGGTGAACAATTAAACAACTGACATTTAAAATATAACTGATCATATCTTACACTGTACCGAGTTCTTTACAATCAAAAGTATAACTTAATAACACCTAAAGCATTAAGTCAGTGTAAAGAGACTAAAAATGTTTTCAGACATTCTGAAGGTCTACAAGTTATACAATGATCTGAGTAGGTTTAACTACTTTCTATAACGTTGAAAACTCCAGAGAAAATTGATTAGTAGGTAGTAAAATAGAAACTAGCAGGTAAGAAAGAGACTGCGGGAGTTTCATCTGAACCTTTATTTGTGTGTACCTACTTAAAATTGGAGCAAAATATGTCACGTAACCTAGCATGCACCATTAGAGCCCTCCAAAGGAGTGACACACGAGGATCGACATTTGGATCTGCCCCCTGTTTCCCTGTGCTTTGAGCGTGTAAACAATAAATGACAGTGCTACGACAAAATCACAATACCTGAAAATGTTATTTTGTTAAATATATTTATTATGTATAAATGCAAATAATCAGCAAAATAAATATTTCTATTTAAAGAATACTATTCATTACTCACTCGGCCGGATCTACTCCTATATCTGTGTAGATTTCTAGAAACTGGCCACCCAGGATGTAACCAAGAGCTGGTCCGATGATAGCCATGGTGTAATAGATGCCTGTAAAACGTGCATGTTTAAATCAGTAGTATATCTTACACAATACAATCAATAGTCATTTCAAGTCGGGGATATTAAATGCATAAAAAGTAGCTGTAATTTACTAACCAACAGATATATACATACTGGAGACATTATGTCGGAGACTTATATTCATTAGTTAAAAGTTAGAGGAAAATTTTCAGTAATAAATATCGACACCAAAGTTGCAGTTTATCCTAAATGCGATAATTCACCAAATGGGGTCAAGGCTAATTTGTTGTCAACAGACACACGTATTAAGCCATTTAAAGATACATTTTCAGGAATGCTAAAGAATATAACTACTAGCGTAAAATGAATGCGACAACAAAATACCTTTCTTAACGCTGTATTTATTTTTAGATGTACAATGCGAACCTATAATACCAAAATTACACAATATTCGTAAAAAACGAGCTTAATAAGAGTCAATCATACAATATACAGCCCTCAATGAGCATTCCACTATAAGCTGCTTTTACAGCCTGTCTTATCATCAGGAGGAAAAGGTCTTATTGCTGTAAACTATATCTTATCTTCTAAAATAGAGCAAAGTAATGTTTGGTTTGCGAAATATGTATTAAACCTTGCATTTGTTAGCAATCATATCTCTTCAATTCTTAGATCCATTGCTCAAAATACGACAGACTTAGATGCAACTTTAACGGTTTAACAATAAATATGAAATCGAGAATAACTAGGTTTGTGTTATTCCTAAACGGTCGTTTCGGCCAACCCATTCTCTTCGTCAAATTTAAGAAGTACCCAGTGATATTTTTCAACGAAATTTCAATTTCTAGGCAACTATCTGATACTTGGTTTGGTTATTTGAAGACAGTTGATAAATTCTAATATGTATGTGTAAACTTAAGACATTTATGTATGTATTACATGCTTCAAAAAGTTTCTATCGAAACTTTTACACTATCTGCGTAAAGTTATCTCACCAATAACAGTTCGTTTAAAACAGTTAGCTCAAACATAGCCGAATCCTGTATGTTAATTATAAATAATTTAAAAGGAATATAAATGCTTCAAATATCATGAGTACCTACATTACGAAATCGAATTTTCACTATACTTACTACATTGTTTGTTAATTAATTGTGATGTTTTTGTCCTTAAAAATAGTTTCTATGTTTATCTTAGGACTCCGAACAATGATATATTCTTCTGCAATTAGTTTCTTATAATGTACAATTCCATATGGCGAATAATTGTAAATATTGTAGTGTCCAAGGTCCTTCCAATCCTCCGTTTAACGATGTTTTTAATCATTATCTAAATTATTTAGCAATGTACGGTTATTTATCTGAAATTTGGGATTAACAATTACTGCATTTCATGTCTTCTCCATTAAGAGTTTTTGGTTAGTGTTTATTTAATTATATGAATGTTAAATATACATGAGTGTTTCCGTTTAAATTTAATGTGAAACTTACGATTTTGATATTTATATAACACGAGGGTTAAATTTAGTTATTTTTAGAAGCGACAGTTTATCGCAGGTTTGTTTACATAACTGTTTACGAATCATACATTGTGTAGTTCAATAATTATATATTCAATAGTTATACTATTGCGTCATGTTAATAGAATCTTCTTTGTTTTTCTCGTTGTTTTGATTGAGTATTATTGCATCATAATATCTAGTAGTTTGTGGAACGTTCTAGACCTCTGGCGGGGTATAAATAGGGTCGAATATTTATTATGAGTCCCCTGGTGGAGCAGCGGTAAGTCTACGTAATTACAAAACTAAAATAAGGGGTTCGATTCTCCTCGGTAGACACAGCGGATGGCCCAAAGTGCCTTTGCTATAAAGCACACACACACACAATTTAGTTCGAAAGATAGATCTCGACTGCGTGATTGAGAGTTTAGCGGGTACATTTTTAAAGCGAAATTATCACAGATTGTATCGTAATAACAGAGTATCGAAGAAGAATTTGTCTTGTCAAAATTGTGTACTTAAGTAAATGAACCAGACTGTGCGGACTTTGACGAAAGAAAAAGAATTATTTAGAGTTCTGGATATAACTGTGATAACCAACAGTGTAACGAACATTTGTATATACGTTTGATTTTTTTTGATATAATATTTTAAAAAAGTGGATGGTGTGCTGTTTGTTTATTGTTCAGATTTATCGCCAACAAGCCACAAACAACTACTGTAAAGAATCCGGCCTCATACAACAAAACCTGCCAATGAATAACCTTAAATGGAAAATTGAGATGAGTATGTAAAAACGCTGGGAAAATTTTTATAGGCCGGTTTCTTCACTAGAATAACAACACTAAATGAAAAATTTCGTCCTTTACCTAAGAAATATTCCAAGAACTTGATCTAATGCCTCGAATATAACATGCTACAAACCTGATTTGAAATATTTTCCAGTGGGTCGATAAAGCTTAATTTTCTGAATGCTAAGTACTCAAAGAAAGAACAAAAAATTACCCCAAAAGTTGTTGGGCATTTGTGTTATACTTACTGGTACCTTTTACGAGAAAAAAATATTTGAAACAGCTGTACATGCTTCAGACACTGTATTACCAAAATAATTCTTGACACCACACTTTTAGAAGATGCATTCTCATTTATAATAAGAAATAGTCCTTCCCCTGATGTTAATCATAGATTTAACTCTGTCGTCATCTTGCAAAAAGAGTTTTAAGGGTAGAAATATTTTAGATTTTTCTATACCTTGGATATCATTCCACAACATCCAACATTTGTTCATAGCAATTCAAGTTGGTATTCTGGACTAAGCATGGCAATAAATAAATATGAAAACGTGCTACATGAGATAGCGTACTAACATGCTGAAAACGATGTGACTTCTCCCTATAGAATCCCAACACTCTGACATTAAAACGTTATATAGAACATTATTATATAACAAAGCATTACGTTTATTTTATTCATATTTAATCCAAAATCATCAAAGGCAATTCATATATAGATATTATTCCACCATTCCTTAACCTTTAGTGCGACACAATCATGTCCCAAATTAAGTTGTAGTCAAACCCAGCTATTGAGTTGCAACCCGTCCATTAAACTCGTACGTACAATGTATATGCTGGCTTGTAGTCCTAAATTTAGTTGAAGTTCTGGGAGATGAGCTTCACGCCAACTATAAGGTTTCATTTTATAACATACTACAAGTTTACCCCAAAATTTAGTTGAAATTCTAAGTTATCGGGTCTATTAGTTTCCAGTTCTTTTGAACATTAAACACACACACACACACACTGCATTTTACTGCAAAATGTCTTAGAAACTCAAATGACTAATTCTGCATCCAATAACCATACCCATTTCTCGAGAGTTATTGATTCCAACTGATTTTTTGTAGCAGTTGTTGATCCTTATAACCTTACCCAGTAGAACACGATAGAAGTTGTATGGAAACTTAATGATAACTGGCTTATTGCTAACTGGGAGTGTGTTATCCTTGTATTTTTGGTAATATCGTGTGTATTATGTGATCAGAAAGCGAATTGACAGGTTGTTTCTTTGTAATTTTACACTTATCTTAACACACACAAAACTTTACATTATTACATTCTTATAATATCACTGGCCCTAACTTTCACCATCTACTTCTTTCTCAAACAATACGTGTATTCTAAAATGTGTATGTATAATTAAACAAGAGGTGGATAATAACATGTTACAACACTGATGAATTTGTTTTTTTTGGGTAACCGAGAGGACTGAAGAGCCGATATTGATGGAAGGTGGTAGCTTTTAATGAAATCGCTTTTATCATCAGATGTTTTTACATCTCTCTTAGCAACCAAGCTAGCATGAAAAGTGTACAGTTTAGCTCAAATGTTTTGTCAAAGCACGTTATTGTATTTTTGAGACTCTGGCTAATCTTTCATCCCAATGCTCTAGAAGATGTTTGTTTGTTTGTAGTTAAGCACAAAGCTACACAATGGGCTATCTGTGCTTAGCTCACCACGGGTATCGAAACCCCGTTTCTAGCGTTGCAAGTCCGCAGACATGCCGCTGTGCCACTGGGAGCAGAGAGGAAACGCAGCTGAGGAAAAAGAGTTGAGGGGTGGGTCCTAAACGAGGAGAGCTCCAGCTGCCAGCGACTTTTATAAAATATGAACCCTAAAATGAGCATGCACTGGTAGCGCACTAAGGTAATTGAAGCAATAGTACAACGCAATAATGGGGTAATTTACTTTATTTAAAAAAAAAGAAAAATATATGAAGTTAATTTTCTACCAGCACAAACCAGTTTCCTACTATTTGTAAAATTACAATGCCATATTTTTTGGGGGAAAGTAATATTCATTTTAAAACAAAATGTAAACAGATGCCAGAAATAAGTAGTTTTAGGATTGAGTGTAATCCCTAAAAACAGCAGAAAATAAAAAGCCATATTCCTGCCGTTCTTGCATTCACCGATATGTTCCACTCATAAGGACTCGAAGGGAAAATGAAAAATCAGTACTTTAAAAAAGAAGTATGCTATACAGTAAATTATCTATAAAAATACTTTATACTTAAAATGTAATTACATCAAATGTATAGCTAGTTCAAATAAAAGGTAATAAAGGAAACTTTAACAACAGAACTGCAGTATATTTTTTCACGCAGTACAAACCAATCTTCTAGAACTAGTAGAAACTTTTTAGAATCAACAAAAGTTTCAACTTTATTCTTCTACCGACTGTAATCGTACATGTAACGGGTATCGTGAAAAAGATATTTAGTTTTGGGTCTGTGGGGACTTTAAATTGATAAGCAAATCTTAATTTTACCTATCGTATAGTCAACCAGGTGTCAAAATGTGAATTACTATTTTTCTGTTTAGATTATGCTTTGCGGTTTTTGCTTGAATATTTTTTCAAAAGTAAATTTGATTCATTCTTATTCGTAACTTTGTTTCAGAAGTTGTTGCTTGCATTTATTTTTCGATTTTAGGTTTTTAAGTATGTTAAGATCGTGTAATTTAATTAAA